TATATTACTTTCACTATTACTGCTCCAATGGCTTTCTCACACAGATTTATAAAAAGTCTTAGAATGCTACCCAAGTGCTACCTAAATTGAGGGTGTATAAATGTGTTGGAAATTATGCAAGCTTTTAAGCTCGTGCTTTGCCTAATTTATGAAGCTCAAATGCTAAGTAGTTGTTTAATTTACTTGGCAGAGCATTATAGGTGAAACAGCATTTCCTTTATTTGTATACCATGTACTATACAGAAGTCATGGATTCAATTTTTAAATAAATGGGACTTTGAGCACAGTTATCAATTCTTTTTTTTTAAGGACTGACTTCCTCCAATGTGTGTAACAAAGTAGATAAATAATAAATGGTTACAAGCCAGGTGCAGGTGGCTCATGCCTGTAATCCTAGCTACTCAAGGAGGCTGAGATATGAGGATAGTGGTTCAAAATCAGCCTAAGCAGACAAATCCATGAGACCTTTATCTCCAATTAATCAACAAGAAGCTCAAATGATGGAGTGCTAACTTTGAGCAAAAAAGTCAAACAAGATCATCAGGCCCTTAGTTCAAGCTCCCAGTACTGACATGCACACACCAAAAATGGTTATCTTAATAAGACTCAATAGCAAAATAGGGGTAAATATGACAAATTCAAGATTTTATTCATTTTCTTCTTTGTATGTGAAATATTTATTCCATTGTACTGTAATACATAAGGTTACCTTTTTTTCCCCTGTGACTTGAACTCAGGGCCTAGGCACTGTCCTTCAACTTTTTTTGCTCAAGGCTGGCACGCTACCACTTGAGCCACAGCTCCCCTTCTTGCTTTTTGGTGGTTAATTGGAGATAAGAGTCTCCTGAACTTTCCTTCCTGGGCTGGCTTTGAACCATGAGCCTCAGATCTCAGCCTTCTGAGTAGCTATGATTGCAAACTTGAGCCACCAGTGCCCTGCCATAAAGTTACCTTTAAAATATCCCAGGTTTTAATAGCAAGAACACATTTCTACATAGTTGCCCCTTATATGGGGGCATCTCAAATGTATATCCAGGCTTTCCTTATAAAAAGGGAAAGTGAATTTTAAAACTAGAAATAGATGATCTTCTCTAAAGACATTCTTGAAGCTCAACACTTGTTTTAAAATTCATGCAAATTTTGCATTTTTTCTCTGTGTTTCAGTTTATTTTCTCCTAAATAAAGATCTAGCTTGTGGTCTCAGACACAGTCTAAGGATTAGGAATTGAAATCTTGTAAGAAAATTAGCACCTCTATAATCTGGGTTCTACTTAGGCTTGTCTTGTTTTGCAAAATTATCTTGGATTTTTTGTTGTTTTATTTTGTTTTGTGGTGGTGAATATTGAATAGTCCAAGACCTTGCACAGGGTAGGCAAACACTACCAATGAGCTATAACCCTAACCCTTGTTTTAAAAATTGGTAGTTTGTTTTGCAAGATAGAAAGTTATGGAGCTCTGTTTTACAACAGTATGATTACATATAACATTACACTAAAATGATGAGGATAATTATTATGCTAATAAGGGTTGAATTCAGGGCCTCTCCCTTGCTCTACGTATTGAGGCAGACCTCCAGTCCTACTTTTTAATGGTTCTATTGGAGATGGACTGTCTCAGACTTTTCTGCCTGAGCTTGTTTTTAACTTCAGTCTTCTGTATCTCAGCCTCCTGAGTAGCTGGGATCACAGGGGTGAGCTATTGGCACCATCTCGTTTCTCGGACAATTCATCGGACAGGCCACTTCTTAGGTTTTTCTCCTCCCTTATCTTCATTTCCAGAAAATCACTCTAAGCCCTTTGCTTATTTCTTCCCTGTCTTCCTTGCTACCACTCTTGATCCCTTGTTCCACCCCATGGTTCAGTGTTACCTTCTTCCTCACTCTGTATAATCTTTCTCACTTAAACTCTCATTCTTTATGTCTGAATGCCTTTTGGACAATTCAGTGTTTGGGAATCATTCTATATTTGGCATTTAAAAGCTAACTCTTATCTCTAATGCCTTCCTTAGTGCTTGGCTTTTTTTTTTTAGTGCTAGTACTGGGACTTAACCTCAGGGCCTTAACTAGGCTTTTCTGCTCAAGACTGGTGCTTTATCATCTCCACATTCAGGTTTGTGCTGGTTAATTGGAGATAAGAGTCTTTCAGTTTTGTCTTCCAGGTTGGCTTCAATCTCAGTCCTCAGTCCTTAGTCTCCTAAGTAGCTAGGATTATAGGAATGAGCCACTGGCACCTGGCTGGCAAATATTTGTTAAATTAATGAGGTAAATGAATCTCATCTCATTTTAACCTCTAATTTTTTGTCACTAATATCACTATTCTGATCTTTCTGACATTGCAAATATTCTGAATAATTTCATTTGAAATGTATCTTATATCTGCATACTTTTATGACCTTCCTCTTAACATAGGTCCTCATCTCCTTATGCCAAATGATGTCCAATCTTAGATTTCTAGCTTCTTTGGTTCTATGTCTCCTTTCTCCAAGGTAGTTTCCCCAAGGTTGACCCTAATAACATTTAAATATCTGTTTATTGTCTCAGTAGATTTTATATGTTTGGTTTCATTTTGTATTTACAGAAAAGTTGCAAAGACAGTAGGGAGAGTTCCTGTGTATCTTTCACCCAGATCCTCCTTGGTTAACATCATCTTCTATATATAAATATAGCTTATTTGACTATTAACTGAAATCTAGACTTCATTTGGTTTTCACAAGATTTTCAACTACTGTATTATATTTTCTACTTCAGGATCCAACCCAAAGTACCATACTGCATTTGACCTATTTTAAAATAGGTAATGCCTAGGACAAAAAGGCTTTATGTTGATTCTCTCCCTCTGAACCCCAGCTAGTAGTTGCTGTCCTCAAGACTATCCTAAATATCATAATACACACACACACACACACACACACACACACACTCCCTTTCCCAAACATATACATCAAATGCACTCTAAAGAATTTGCTAGTCCTGTAACTTTCTTTTTTCTTTAGACTTCATTTGGAGGTGTGCTATTCAGTCCTGGATATCACATTGTAAAAGGGATATTTTGAAATGAAAGTACCCATGTTATTTTTCAATGCTGTCATTAAAGAAGTAACAAAAATGAACTATGTAACTTGAGGGTTGGGATTGGAGGGGAAAATGGGGGAGAACAAAAGAAAGGATAACATTGATCAAGAAGTATTGTACTTATAACCTGATTTATGGGATTGTTCAACTACATGATGATGATGATGATGATGGTGATAAATAACAAACCTTGTGGCTTAAAACAATACACGTTACGTCAAGTCCAGCATGATCCCTGTGCTAATCCAAGGCATCTTCAGGGCGATGTTCCTTTTTGGAAGCTCTAGAAAAAGAAGTTTCTTTGCATTTTCTAACTTCTACAGGCCACATGCACGCCTCAGATTGTTCCTTCTTCCTTTCATCTTCAAAGGCAGAGTTAGTGCAAGCCTTAGCTCTGTGGTCACAGCTGGGAAAGGTCACTGCTTTTAAAGGACACATATGATGACATTGCACCCATCTGGATGACATATCCAGATCCCTGTCTCAAGGCTCATAAGCAGAGTCACTCCTACAAAGTCCTTTTTGCTGTAGAAAATAACATATTTGCAGGTCTGATGATTAGGACAGGAACATTTTTGCCTTTCATTGTTATTAGAGAGAAGCACCAATATAGTAAAGGGGTCATGTTGTGTTAAGAGACTCAGACTAAGAAAATTTGAAGACCAGCCCCAAATATATTGCCTCAGAGAGAATAAGATCATGTTTAGAAAAGTATTAGGGCAATTCAAAGAAACATAGGTCCCATGATTTCCCTTATTCTCAATAACTAGTACATGTCTAGGACAAGCAGAAAAGGTCAAAAGCTATGTATATATGACCATATAAGATGATGTTGAGCAAAATGAACCCCAAGATAGGAACACAAATACCGTTTTTCTTTCTTGCTATTATTTCTAATGTATCTATAATATACGATGTGTTTTTTTAAATTTCTTTGTATATTCCTACCCCACAGTATGACCCCTGTTTTCACTGTATTTGATGTCAGTGTCCTGCATCTTGTATATACACTCCTCTAATTTGGGGAAGTAAAGGGAAAAAACAAAATGCTTAAATAGGGATACAAATTAACCCATTGTAACAATGAGATGTACAAGACACTATGTTGAAAACTAGCTTTATAACTTCCACAGGAGTGGGGTGGGAAGTAGCTGTGGAGGTGGGAGGGACGGGATGGTAGGGGAAAAACAAAGGAGGAGGCAACAATGCTCAATAGGAAATGTACTCATTACCTTGCTCATGTAACTGTAACCCCTCTGTACTTTTTACAGTGTACAAATAAAAAAAGTATTAGGGCAATAAATGCATAGTAAAGGGTTTCTACTTCAAGGGTTTATGGCACAAGCTGCATAAATACAGAAGCTCAAAGGGAAAGAGTATAGAGAAAGTAGATAAGCCCATGAAGCAGCTTGCCAAGAACAGAATTCGGGACCCAAGTGCTCTCTTTAGATCAGCAGATATTCTGCATGTCAGGTATTGGGCATTATTCCTCTCCCTGATAAAAGAGGTGGGAACGGAGATAATGGACTATGGCAGAAAAGCAGCCTTCTGGCCTCTTGCTGCCATGATGGCGCTTGTATAGATTCTAGACAGGACAGAAAACTTCTATTAAAGGGGGGAAAAAAGATACTTGAGGCTCAGAGGACTGTCCTTCCCCCACCATATAACATGTGGGAAAGAAATGCTCTGTCAAAGCCCAGCCAGCAGAGATTATGAGAATTTCTAGGGTTTTCCTCTATAATCTCCCTTACATTTGTCTCTTTAAACATACTTCACTTGACCTTTGAGAAGTTGCTGATAAGTGGTGTGGAGTTATATGAACAAACCCTCCCACCTGGCTGTTGGGTGGTAGCTCCCAAGGCTGCTGGATATGTGTTTCCGCCAACTGATACAGAAACAGCCAGGAAGGGGACAAAGTTTAGTCTGTGAGGAAATAGTTGGCTGCTGGCAGTTTCATGCACTCTGACCAGACTTCAGCTTGGTGTAAGTAGCTTTTTGTTTTTAAACCTTTATAACGTGCTAATATCAAAAGAATTATAAGAATAATTTACTAAGATTAAATCAAGTTCCTGCTTGGCTCTAAATTAGTGTATTAGATTTACATAAGAGAAAATTTCAACAGTTCACATAGTTTTATTTTTAAAAATGAAAAGCCATAACAACTTTTATCAGATATTCTACTAAAACAGATCCTGCTTACATAACATCTTATGTTGAGTGAAGGATTTTTACAACTAAATAAAAGTGAATGAATTTATATTTGGTGCTCCGAAATTCAGTATTTCCAAATAATGCGTAGATTTTTGTCCCTTTCTCTTTATAGTTTGCTATTCCTTGAGGTGAATTTGATAGCAAATAATTACTCTGGAACGATTATACTAGAGGTTTTTCTGTTAAAAAATGAAATGCATGAGAATAAAGTAGACTCTAAAATGTAACAAAATGTTGGGATCCTAGATTTAAGAGCCACAGAATAGAGGGTAAAAACTGGAAGACAGCAAAGGAAGGGGTGATATTGTCTAAAAAGAAATGTACTCATTACCCGACTTATAAAACAGTAACTCTACTGTACAACACCTTTATAATAACAATAAAAATATTTAATAATGAGCCACAAATATATATTTTCAAAGAGGAAAAACTTTGTCAAATGGGTGGGAGTGACAAGCAGCCAAAGAAATTTCATGCAACTTTGAAATCTGTTTTTTTTTAATTTACATTTTGACATCTGTGCTTATTTGCCCCACAGAAATCCCAGCACTCTATGTAAAATAACTTTCATATATAATAGTAGAGTTGTGACACTTTAGCTGTTCTTATTTTAAGTTGAGATTAGTGTTCCAGGAACTAAACAGAATGTTACACACATATTGACTTTATTGAATGTCGCTACAAGAATATTAAGGCTGTTTTAGGGTTGCAAAATTTCGTATTTCCTCTTTCCCTCTCACAATATATTTAAAAACCTGGTCCATGTCAGTTTTATGACTTTGAATATGGAAATATAGTTTAATGTTGTTAATATATAAAAGCTGTAAAGACTGGCTGTTAGCCATAAACCTTTGAAATCTCTGGAGAGTGCTGAGGAGAGAGGTTGTTCCTGTAGAATATTTTTCATTCCCTGTCTTCCTGTTAAGACCTCAGGGACATTCTGACTATTTCTCCAGCCTGCTTGTTACTTCTGCCTGTGGAGGGAGCCCAGACAGTGGTACTGGTCCCCAGTGCTTCTTGCTGGAATGTACAGGACACCTTGTTCTAGCAGGCTGAAGTGAAAACCTTGACTCACCCTTTAGGCTGCTGAGTCTCAGTGACTGCAACTTCCCAAGCTGATTACTTTCCCCAAATCAATAGCCTCTTCTGGAAAAGGATATTTATTTAGTTGTTGGTTCATGAGGCAAGACTAGGGAGGGGTAAAGGTTCCTTGGAAAATAAGCCTGAGTGGCAGGTGACATGGTTACCAGGAAAGCTGTGCTGTTCTGTCTGGATTAGAAGTATGTCAGTCTTTCAACCACCCAAAAGGCAGCACATCAAGCTTTTCTTCCCTTAAGGCCTTTGCTGCCTTGAAAGCATGCCTCCCTCTTCTCCAATCATTGAGATATTTATTAGAATACCTCCTCCCTGGGGAGGCCTTCCCAGACAATCCCTCCCAATTTTCTTTTACCACATCACTTTTTCCTTTACCTGGATTTCCTTAGAAAAAGAAAAGCTCCTGGTATTATATAGTCTATTTTATAGATATAAAAAGTATGTATATATATATATATAACACTGAGGTGTACATATATGACTGTGTGCATACATGTGTGTGAATATATGTGTATTTGGCCTTTTTTTCTAGACTGTAAATTCTGGCAGGGCACATACTTTATCTTGTTCAGTACTGTGTTGCCAGTGCCCCTAATATGCTTGCTTGACTTACAGTAGACACTTGGCAAGTACTTTTACAACTAGATCAATGGTGTCATTAAAACTTATTCATACCACTACTAAATAACCCTATGCTGCTGATCACATGTATGGTGTATATGTGTACACCATTATATGTTATAGACTGTGATAGACAATTTGCTCCAGGAAAGTTAGAATGAACTTGTGACTTTAAATGAGCATCATTATTCCACAATACTGTGAAATTTGGGAAATTATGTAATCACTTAATCACAATTAAAAAAAAAAAGAACCTCGGGGAAGGTGGGAGGGAAGGGATAGTAGGGGGAAAACAATGGAGGGGGTAACAATGCTCAGTAGGAAGGGAACCATCACCTTGCTCATGTAACTGTAACCCTCTGTATAGTATCTTTACAATAAAAAATTAAAAAAAAACTTATTCATAAGCATAACACTTTTTAAATAAATAATATACATATTAATATGATTTCCAGACAAAGTATATTGTCTTGTTTGCCAAGTCTGCCCCATTCTTTTCCCAATCTGCTCTCCAGACCACTGTTAGAATTTTCCAACGTTCCCTCCAGAATTTCATATTGTATATACATGGAAACATCAAAGTATAACTCAACTCATTTCTTTTTATACACTATATTACATACTGGTCTTTGTTTTTTCACTTGTAAGATATTTTGAATTATCTTTTCCTGTCTGTGCATAGCAAGTATCCTTATATTTGAATAGCTGCTCCTAATAAGTGATATCAATTACTAGTACATAAATACTAATCTGTTGTATTTATGGGCCATAATTTATATAACTAGTCATAGAGCTGGGGAATATGTGGTTGTTTAATGGGCCTTTCTATTGTAAACAATGCTGATATTCATACTTTGTGCATATATATATATATATATATATATATATACACACACACACACACACACAAACACCTTTATAATTAAATTCTCCAATGTAGAATTGCTGGGTTTGGCTCAAGCAGTAGAGCACTAGCTTTGAGCAAAAAAGCTCAGGGGTAGCACCTAGGCCCTAAGTTTAAGCCCCAAGACCAACACTAGAAAAAAATTGTTTTAGTACAATTTTTGTTTTGGTAATTTATAATAAAATGTATTAAAGGTCTTAAAGTTGTTTTTAATTGGATTTAGAAACAACATAAGACTGAGTATAGCCACGCATGCCTATTATCTTATTATACTTTGGAGATGGAGATTGGGAAGATTAAGGCTGAAGGTCAGCCTGGGCAAAAAGTGAGTGAGCTTCCCATCTCAATCAATAAGCTAAGTGTGGTAGTTGGTGCCAGTATGTCCCTATGATCCTAGTGATATAGGAGGCCATAATTAAGAGGACTGTGCTCTGTGTCTTTCCCTGGGCAAACACTTAAGACTCTACCTGAAAAAAATAAGTAAAAGCAAAAAGGTATGAAAGTGTGACTTGAGTTATACTCATTAAAAAACAAATCATCAAGGGATAGGACTGTAGCTTATTGGTAGAATGTTTATCTAGCTTATATAGGGTCCTGTTTTCAGTCCCCAATATTGCAAAAACAAAGAGAAAAACAAGCAAACAAACAAAAAGGCCACCTCATTTCCCGTGTTCCCTAATAGTCCCCTCACAGCTACTATTAATTTAGTACTTGTTTGCTGAAACCCTCTGACTCTTGTTCTTGTGTGCTGTGTTAGTCATCTTTTTTTTATTTTTATTTATTTATTTATTTATTTTTTGGGTCCCGTCATGGGGCCTGAACTCTGGGCCTGGGCGCTGTCCCTGAGCTCTTCAGCTCAAGGCTAGCACTCTACCACTTGAGCCACAGTGCCACTCCCGGCTTTTTTCTTTTTGCTTATGTGGTGCTGAGGAATCAAACCCAGGGCTTCATGAATGCAAGGCAAGCGCTCTACCACTGAGCCACCTTCCCAGCCTGTTAGTCATCTTTTTGATACTATAACACCTTTCTAATCAACCTATAAAATGAAAAGGTTTATTTTGACTGGCACTGTTTTAATCAATGATCGGGTACCCAGTTTGGCCTTTGGTGTTGGAGCCTGGGCAACAAACATAGCCGAAGTGTATGATATGAAAAACCCATTTATTTCATGGCCGGGATGCAAAAGTAGTTGGAGACCAGAGACCCAGTCTCTTTGTGTGACCAGAAGGCCTCCCACCCAGCCCTACCTCTTAAAGCTTCCATCACTTCCCAATGCTAAGCTGGGAATTAAGTCTTTAAACCATGAGCCTTTGCCGAGTATTTAAAGCAACAACAGCTAACTTAGAAATAACATTGAGTTTTTATGAAGGTAATGTGTAAATGAGGTAATAATGTATATTAGATACTTAATGTAGGGGCAGTATGATAAGGCCAAAAACAAATAAAAGTCTTGATTTTCAGAAAAAAGTAAAACTGCCATTATTCTTATATGACATGATTGAGTGTATTTAAAACATCTTGTAAAGTCTATTTTTGATAATCTACTTGAGCTACTTGAATTTAGCAAAAGGCTATTTTCAGTATAAACTATAGGAATAATTAGAACAGCTAAAACAATTAGAAAATATGTGAAACTATCACCAGCAAAAATACCAAATACAGCCAAGGGGCTGGTAACTTATGCCTGTAATCCTAGCTACTCAGTAAGGCTGAGGTCTAAGGCTCACTGTTCAAAGCCAGCTGGGGTGGGAAAGTTGTGAGACTCTTATCTGCAAAAACTACCAGAAAACAAGAAGTGGAGCTGTGGCTCAAAGTGGTACAGTACTAGCCTTGAGCAAAAGAGCTTGGGTACAGCACCCAGGCCTGTTCATGCCTGTAATCCTAGCTACTCAGGAGACTAAGGTCCAGAGGATCATGGCTTAAAGACACCTCAGGCAGAAAAGTATATGAGACTCCATCTTGAAAATAACTAGCAAAAAGCAGGGCTGGAGGCATGGCTCAAGTGGTAGAGTACCAGGTAAGAAAATAAGTTGAATACCTGTTAGGCCTACAATTCAAGCTTGAGGACCAGCAGCAACAAACAAAAAATTGAACAAAAATTTAATCAAGTACATCTGTGAAAAAAGCACAAAACCTCTATTGTCATGAAAAA